CATACAAAACTAACTAAATAAAATATGCAACAAAAAAACTATTCTTAGCTGATAATGTCTGGTGTAACGCAGTAGATTAAAACAGAAATAACGTCATATGTTCAATTTTTGATGACCCGCTGATACTAATCTTTGTTATCATTTATATAAAACAATTTTTCAGCAGTTTGATCAAACAATTGACCGCAAAGTTTATTATGATATAAAGGTAAACTTACGTGTCCCTCTTTAGCTGCGATATGGAGAGGAGTGTACTGATCGCGCGTAGCAGCATCCACTTTCGCACCGTGCTGAAGCAGCAACATGACGATATCGGCGTTGCCAAGTCGACAGGCGATGTGCAAAGGCGTCTGTTGTTCGCGGGCCGATGAGTCGACGCAGGAACCGTTTCGAAGCAGGATCCTGATCACATCCGTTTGATTGGCACGCGCAGCGAGGTGCAACGGAGTCTCGCCTCGAACGGTTGTCACGTCAGGGTTCGCCCCCTGTTGTATTAAGTAAACCACGATGTTCATGCAGCCCATAAATGCAGCCACATGGAGAGGTGTCAGTCCGGACTAGGAATAAAACAAGACAATATAGATAAGAATGAAAATCGCCATAGTCGATTACACATTCGCTAGATGTTACGTGAACAAAAGAATAATTACCATTACGAAACTTAAACAGTAAAAGTACAATCAATAAACCATAAGCTCCATTAAGAAAGTATCTGAGTCCAAAAAAGGAGCAGGGCACAAGATAAGTTAGGCAAATTTTTAAAGAATTTTACTCTTGTCCTTGGTGTTCACAGTTGGCACATCGACATATCATTCGACAGATGGGGCTCGCATCTGGTGAAATAACCTACGCTGCATGTTAACTGTTGACATTTCCACCCACCTAATCACCTACGTAATCACCTACCTACGAAACAACTATTTCAGCTGCCTTGACTTTTTCAGGGTTTCAACAAGATCCCATGCGAAATGGTCTCGCTCATAACAGGACACCAGAGTGTCATTACGTTTCGCAGGTCCGATTGCCGTTTTCAGGACGGTTACAAAGAAGCACATAGGTGAATTACTTGCTTAAGTGAATTTACCGTTAAGAGATTTATTTATGATTCGATCCTCAACACATTTCGCGTTCAAAGACGACCTCCAACCACTATTCCATTGCTCACAATAACAATTTATCGTGTCTGCCTTCCTTCATATCTTAACTGACCGTTTTTTCGGGTTCAAAGAAAGAGCCCGATCAACAAGATATGTAAAGCATACTTTTCCTATGAAAAATGTTACAAATCCTCATTTGCACGTTTTTAGCCCTTTTATCGTATGTATCATGTATTTCTGGCATACAACAATCGTAGTTTCCTATTATTTTCAGGCTCCTGATTCATCGTTCATCAATGAGTTCATTAGTGTTACAAATAATTTACGTCTATCGCATCATCCGTTTGTTTTCACACGCTAGTGACGATTCACTAATTCAACACTAAATCGGACAAAGTTATGACATATTTAGCGATTCAGCAATTTTCTACCATGACATGAAGTAGCGACATTACGATTATCAATCCTATCCTATACTTTATGCTCTATGCAAATGATGTAGTATTTAGCAGTGCAAGTTAACAAGCAATAGAAACAGAAACCAAGACATATATAAAAGTTTCAGAGAACAGCGACCTTCGGCCTTTGAAAGGCAAGTCAGAATCGGTGATGGACTATTGCAGTACAGAAAACAGATGCAAGGCAAACGAATCAGTGAAGGTGGCAAGGAGTAAGCTGTGTCAAACGAAACACTTAAGTTATGTTGATCCCACTGCTCAGGCCAATGTTAAAAATCAGCAATTACTTCGACAGATCAGTCGAGAAAAGCACGGTTTTAATACACAAAGTTCAGCAGCGAATTCTGCGGGAAGATGCCAAACAAACTCAAGCTAAAGAAAACGAGGTACAGAACGACAGTAAAATAGGAACTTCTGAACGAACTGCAATGATTAACTAGCCTGAAGAAAAACTAGACGAGTAATAGCTGAACTCGGAAGAAATGCAAATGCTCAGATCGATGTGGGATGTCAGCAAAAAGGACCACACTGAGAATACCTTGATAAGAGACACCGATTTTAAGTGTAGCACCAGCTGCACAAAGGCTGCCAGAAAGCAGTCATCTTTTGAAACGAAAATCCCAGCAGTATGTTGGAAATGTGGTTTCAAGCACAGAAAGTACCACAGAAGGAAAGAAGTAGAAACCCCACGGAAAAGTGGCACGATATCGCAACGGACGACATCAACCGTGAGCAGTGACCGAACATTCCACTGAAATCTCAAAATTCAACTCAGTTTTGACTCGAACGACGAAACTCTCTTGAAGGAAACGCCACAGGAAGAAAAAACATGCAGTAATAGACCCGTGACGATGAAAATACAAGCATAATATTATTTCATCGATGGCTTTAAACAAATATGAAACCAGTCAAACGTAGTCATTTGAACTGTCAGGTATACCACTCCAGAAGAGATTTCTTGCATCGAACATTCCGGTGCTGCCAATGATCCCTGTGAATAGGCTGAAGAGCAGCAGCACCGTATAATTATGCATAAATACACTGATATACGCACAGGTACGTGTATATTTTAGTACACAGTATTTACCACAATGAAAGGCAAATCTAGAACGCCGTTCACACGCTACAGTAGTTGAAGCATGATATAATGTATGGGCTAGAAATCGCTGTAGACTTACCTCTGTGGTGGCTTCGATCGCCGCCTGGTACTTCAGCAGCAATTCCACCACCTTGATTCTGTTCTTTTTACACGCGATGTGCAAAGGCGTAAAGCCATTTAGTGCTCGAGCGTTGGGATCAGCGTTTCTATCGAGTAGAAGCTTTGCGGTTCGAACCTAAGCAAAGGAAAAGTAAGTACAACAGTAGTTAATCGACTTATGGCAAAACACGAAACAAATCGCCTTTGGGTATCAGGATATGATAAACAAAGGTGTTTCTGCAACGGCTTCATGCGGAGTTTCAAGAATATTGACAACATTTTTCTGTTGCGATTGAGTTAACCTTTCAATCTGTTCACACAGACAGGGAAAAGCTTTTTGAATAAAAACTTTGAATGATTTGTTACGGCAAAGTGTTCTTTAACATGTTCATACCACTTTCTGTGCAACTGCAAAACAGCTGAATAGACCATATAAGGCATCATAACTAGAACAGCTCTTCTCCAAGTGATCATGTTCATTCCGTGGACATGGCTTAAATATGAGAAAGTGATAGGACAGAGGGACTAGGAGATTGCTAGGTGCATCGATCTTGGCGTTGTCGCCCACGGCTATCCAATCTGGTCAACGAACGAGGTATAAGACTGAAAAATCTCCCAAAATAGTGGTGCCCAACGAGTACAAAGCAACGAACTGTAGTGAAAACGAGGGACAAGATAGCATTAGCGGGCAAGCAAGACAAGATTCACAGATTCGCTTACATGGCCACAATGGGCTGCGACGTGCAGTGGAGTCAAGTAATCTACGGTCACTTCGTCGACTGGGGCGCGGTGGAAAAGCAGGATTCGGGCGGTATCGACGTGGTCGCCTTGAGCGGCCATGTGCAACGGCGCCAGGCCATTCTTTGTCTTGGCTGATATTGGCGCGCCCTTCTCGAGCAGCAGATCGACGATCTGGTCGTGGCCCGAACGAGCAGCGCAGTGCAGCGGTGTCAGCATGTCTCTGGTCTGGCAGTCGATAACCGCACCGTGGGCCAGTAGTAGCAGGACCATATTCGTGCGACCCCACTTAGAGGCGACGTGTAGCGGTGTGATGTTGTGCCGCGCCATGTAGTTGACGTTGGCGCCTTTTTCTAACAATATTTTCGCGATGTTCTCGTTACCATAGTGAGCCGCGATGTGAAGCGGCGTGAATCCGCTCTAAATGCGGTGCAATGTCATGAAAGAAGCATAATACATCGCATGGTTATTAAATTAATTATAACAATTATTCATCATAATAACATGTTGGAAATTCGTCACAAAATTTCCATTCCGAAATCATAACTGATCGCTCGAATTCTGCCTTGATTTATGATGAGAAGCCCAAGCCAAAAAAAGGCGGTGAAATTTTATAACCACCACTCGTAATACGTTCTGAACTGATTGAAGCCAAAAACAACGTCATCCTCTGGCTCAAGACAAGAATGACTACTAGCTTAAGCTGACCCATAACGACCCAACGGTGCCAAAGAGTGAACTGCTGCACCTCTTCTTGAACTCAAAGAAAACATCAGCAAAGAGATCCATAAAATTGCTATCGCTTCACAATCAGGCTTCAGCTTTGGTCAGCAAATACGTACCTAATGAAAATGGGGTTTATCATCCAGTATCAAACGAGGAAAAATTTACCAACCCAGCAGAATCTCTCAACCTACTTTAAGAAATGAACTGCTCCACTGCGACACAATGCATACGCTATAATCCAGAGTGGTAATCGAGAACACCGTTATAGACCGCAATTATGAACATACAGGTATGAAATGAATCGAATTTACTATTTACCTCAGATCGTAATCTACGATATTTACTGGCATCAACCTAAATACTCACGAGACGGTGCAAAGGTTCAGATACGATAGACTTTGCGATAATTCGGTAAAACTGATGTGTTGCCGATATGGACTGAAGCTATTGGATCGAAGCCGGATAATGCCTCGATTATCACTAAGCTTCTGCACCGCTACCTGAATGTCAATTTACTTCTGTATGTCTACCTCAAATTGGTTCCTTAAAAAAAATCAAGGGTTGGTGATAAACGGCACTACTGTCGGTTTTCGGGTAATATTCTAACTTTTAAGGTCAGCGTTAGAATTCCAAAGAAGAATTCAAGAGCTGAATGACGTCAACATGGAGCACCAAAGCACGAGCAAAAAGTAACGTGAAGAAAATCCAAGTCATGTTCAACAAATAAGCAAAGTGTACAATTAATACTATTCATACAGCACCGACAATGGAAAATATTGGGGTACCGTAGTCGGCGAAATTAATCGGCTAAACTGACTTCGCAATTGTGTTAGACGCAACTGCCACGTAGTCTCATGCTATTATCATTTTTGTCCTGCATACGCAACCGAATCAAAATTGTCTTTGATGTTACCCAGTCCAAAGAAGCTGCATCTAAGAATTACGCCTTCTTTTCTCGTTTTGGCTTATTAACCATGAATCAAGAACCCATTCATTCGGTTCAATGATACATCTGCTAACAAATCATGTATGACATTGCATCACGGTGCTGCCCTCACCTTCGAAGTCACGTCCGGATTGTGGTCATTCTGCAATAGCAGTGAAGCCGCTTTCGTGTCGTCGATCTTCGCTGCGATGTGCAAAGCCGGCAGGCGCACTTTGCCGCGAGTGTCGTTTTCTAGCAGAAGGGCGACTATTCGGTCATGGCCCTGCTGCAGAGCGACGGCTAGCGGAGTGAACCCGTCCTGAAACACATGAAGCGTCAAGTCAAACAACTACACCATTTAAAAATACCTCGGTGGCGAGTGACTGGTTCGCACCGTGCTTCAACAAGTAAGTGACCACCGTGTCGTGGTTCTCCTGCGACGCCATGTACAATGGCGTGAACCCATTTTGAGACTGAACGTTGACGTTCGCGCCGTGATCCACAAGAATCCTTACAATCTCGTCCTGACCAGCCAGTGAGGCGATGTGAAGAGCCGTATTTCCTTTCTAAAACGGTATACACTATCACTTAAGCAACACGACTAGCCATATAGAAATAAATCCTTCCGTTCACGTGCTGATATTTAATGCCTAACGCAGGGAAATGATTAGAAGGATTCTTTGTAAATTCCTTTATACGTACTTTGATCGTAAACAAATTATCCGTATGAATGGCATCGCACTGTAAATCTGTAGAACAAATTTTCCCCAACGTCCGCATCCTACTTATATTGTCGTAAGAAAGTACATTGACGTCTATGGGTAAGTCATTACACCATAAGAATGCACTACGTTACTTCATTATCTTCTGTTAGATATCTACGCCATTGTTGTTCACTGAGTATAACTCTTTCACCTACAGCTGAAAATTAAAATTCTAACCACCCGTCAATGACTGATGTGGAAATGATCAAAGGCATATTCACTAGGTGCATCAATCCGTAGACATTTTCTGAACGTTCATTCATGGTATGTTCGAGTCTTAACCTTTAGCCACGGTATGCAAGGACAACAACAACTCGGTACAGAAGACGTGACAATGAAGTAGTCGATCATATGCATGACAATATGGAAAACATATCACCTTATTTCCTTATAACGTGTTCCATATATACACTCTTGTTCAGTGCTCTCACTGTCTATAAAGTGGCTGTTCGAATCACTTATCAATATTCAGAAAATGATCAGTGTGGATGGTCTACTACAGCGAGTACTACAGTGAATGATCGGTCGATCAGCAAAGCGTCAGAAAGGGAAATCACTGTTCAACGCTAGTGCCAACTCATTTACAATGTGTGGATAATACGGATTAATTATTTACTACTTATTTACACCTATATTTAAATATTATATTTTT